AAGCAGTGGTATCAACGCAGAGTACTCTCTACCCGCTCCTCTTTTTGTGATCAGCAGAACTTCGAGCTCGAAGCGGGGTTGAAGAATGAGCGCTTTTCTGTTCTGCGTATGCGACAAGATGTGTGTTCTTGCGCTCGTCCATTTTCTCTTCGCTTTATTTTTACACAGACTTATTCCATTTGTTCCAGGAAGCCCCTGCGTAGTTTCCATAGCCATCTGCTGTGAATTAGGAGTAAGAGCAATTCTGAAATTGCATGAATTGAAACTTGTCTCGTGTTTTGATGAGTTTCGTTTTTGGGCATTCTCCGCCCCTTTCCCTTTTCCATATCGTTGCTTCTACTTTCTTTCTTCTATCCCGCTTCTCCTTGTGATGAGAAAAGCTGTGAACTTGAAGCGGAGTTGAGGACTGAACGCGGTTCCCATCATGTTTCCGGGAAGATTAACCTTCTTGCGTTCGTCCACCTTCTCTGCCATTTTTGTTCAGGCCTACTTCATGTGTTCTAGAGACCTGTCCATGTGCCTTTTAGTACAGATGCGAGGCTACGCAGCGCCTTCTAAAACACATGAAGCAGGCCGGCAAAAATGGAATAAAATGGACAAGCGCAAAAAGAGCAATTTGCCCGGATATGGAATAGAACAAGGTTATTCCTTTAACTCGCTTTAATTTCACACATTTTCTCATCACAGGGAAAGGGGCTGAGAATGGCCAAAAAGGAAACTCATTAAAACAAGAGAAAAGTCCCAATTTATGCAACTTCAGAATTGCTCCTACTCCCTAATTCATGGCGAAAAGCGCTCATTCTTCAACCTCGCTTCGAGTGCGCTGTTCTGCTGATTAAAAAAAGGAGCGGGTAGAGGAATAAGGCCAAAATGAGAGAAATTTGGAAGAAAAACCGTTGAAAACGGTCAAAATTCTCCAACTTCCGCCGTTCAAAACGCGTGCGGGGCTGCAGCGCATGCAGCACAGTTGCAGTTCCCGCACAGTTCCCAGCATAGTGCGGGAACATTGCGGACTGTGCGGGAACAGTTCCGGAACATGAGAATCAGTATGAACCCATCCTTAGGAGCCGAGCTGGTCTAATAGATTATATTTCGTCATCGGTGATATCGGCTTATCGATTTCTTGCAAACTTTGAGTTACAGGTGTAAGAGTTGGCACAAGGGGTAGGCAGCAGTATGCGGCATAAATTATAATTTACATCTGTATATAAACATAATATCTGCAATCAGAGTCATCTGTAACCATTCGCGGCGATATTTGGCCAAAATATGCGATCTTAAAATTTCGAACGATTTTCATGAGGACGTGAGTTCGTCAGCTCACAGTTCGGCGATCAATACAGGTAAGGGCCTAGTTTGAGCATGCCCTAAGAGCAATGCCTCTAGTGTATTCAAATTACAAAAAGGAGCAGGAAAGTTGTTGAATAGACAAGCGCAAAGGCTAGACAAACTTAGGAACTCGCATAGTATCGCAACATTCCTCTCAGCATAACTCTGCCAAATGAACTTATGCTGCACAGAGGGCACTATTTCTGTAATCAGCGAGTCCGAAAACCTCTATGGGCGAAGTTTCCGATTAATCCAAGATCATCAATATTTTAGCCAAAACCCGTCGGCGAGCTTCACAGCCTAGAACGAGAAAAAATGAAAGGTTCCCAATTCCTTGGAAAACTTGCGTATAGAGGTTATCTAACCTGCTGATCACGAAAAACACACCTGCTTTGCAAATTGGCGTCTTACTGTATGGTTACGGTAACGAAAATTTGAGAGAGATCGATTTTTTCAAAATTAAACGGCCTATCTTTTTCTATGGAAAGGGAATCCTTCGCTACTCACTAGTGCATGATAATCTATGGGGACAGCACTACTGAACCATGTTTACATGAATTGTCCATGTATGTTCTTCGCTGAGTTACACCACTACGAATACCCGTCCTCACACAAAAATCGAGCAGATTGAAAACAGAATAGTACGAGAGTGCAGCATACCAGAAGATTCATCTTGACGAGCTGAGCATCATGCTTTCTTCGGATTTGTATTTTATGCAATTTGAAGGAAGTTATAAAGAAAAAACGAAAAAAACGCGGATCGTCAGTTTTTGCGTTTTCTGTCGAATAATTAGTGTGGGTACTGTATGTTTAGCAGTGCTTTAGTATATTCTCAATACAATTTTGTAGCATTTTTATCGACTTCTCAGTAAGATAAGACTCAAAAAATGAGGGTGATCTTCAGGGGATCACATAAAATGACAAAAAACCATTCTTTATGGTAGTAACCTGGCAACCACTATGCGCAGGTATAGGGGTAAGAGAATCTTCATAAGCAAGATAGAATAGGAAGAAAATAGTCATTCAGAGTAGTGATATGATGCATCCACCCTCGGATCCCCCCCCCCCTCCCCAACGGAGATTTACGTACATACGGGCCTTAGTTAACGGAAATTTGAGGGATTCATTAATCTAATATGGTTCAAAATATTTAACCTACTTTTAAAACATCCGCTTATTTCCTAGAATTAAATTCTGGGAGAATTGACGGTCGGTATCTATCACATGCAACTTAACATAATGTTATTTTTCTTGGTTACTTAACATAATATTATTTTTCTTGGTTATCTTGCTTTTTGCTTTGTATTACTCTATAACAACGTGATTCTTTATTTTCGAATGAGTGTTCAATATTGATACAAAGGAATCTGTGAAAGACTTCAAGGTGAATAATACACAGTTGTGGAACTCCACCTTTCTACAACATCTTTTTTCTTTTATCCACTTTGTCCAAGCAATACGGTAAGGTTCAAATCATTTCTTATAGTGTATGTTAATATGCATATTGGGTCACAATGATTAAATCCGACTAGTGCAACCATTATTCTTGGACCCCATAACATTGTTGTTAGAGGGCTGCCGATAATTTTGTTGAGATACCTTTTGGTGTAAATACTTCCTTAAAAAATTACTTGAAAAAAAATTGTATGAAAAATGGGATTTTGCCCCTAAAAGCGTATTCGATTATTTTGAGTGGAATTTTAGTGAGAGAAGATGTTGGATGTTTGCGTATTTGTTGTTTCAGACTAACAAGTAAAACTGTGTGAGGTTCTTTCCCAGTTCATTATTTTCTCCTTGAATGTACGCAATGAAAAATTTTTGCTTGTTGAAAATTTGAGCAATTGAGATTACCTCTCTTGAAGCTGGTATTGGAATCAAGTGATGAAGTGTCAAGTTGGGTGTAGATCTTGCCTGCAACTTTCTCAGCAAGAAATTTCTGTTACTGTTATATGGTTATCCTCATGTTGAAGGCAGCATTACAAAGGTAGGTGATGGAATGGTACATGAGGTAACGGTAGAATAGCACATTAGGCAATGGTCTATGTTGTGTTGACTTCTTCTCCTATCTTACCGTTCTGAAAAGCGTCGTATGTGGGGCCCATTTTGAAAAACATGTTTGGTTCGGTTCAGCTGCTATGATTTTGAAAAAAAAGATGCAGGTATAGTATGTTCAAAAAATTTGGCTCGGCGTTTGCACTTATAGTAAATCAGTGAATGATCTGCATTGTTTTTGTAAATCTTGAGCGGGAGATGGAGGGTCAAATAAGAGTGGGGACATTTGAGGAACTCTTATTGTGGGCAAAATTGTGGTTAACCAAAATCAAATCTGCTCGGTATGCTACCCAGGAACCCAACCCAAAAATCACAAGAATAGCTGGAATTCGAGCATCGCACCCAAGAAAATTTTGTGTCCATAGGCAAGAGATAACCTTTTCAAAAGCGGTTCGAACCACTTCCATCAGCTTCATACCTCTATAAAGTTATACCAGGATCTCTTTCTGATGGAGAGGGCACAGCACAGTACTATTCAACAAATCAAGTGTCCTCCATTGTTTGATTACATCTATTTGCTTCAGTTTGGTGTGTTTCACGAGATCTTAGGTAAAATTTACTTTCTGTTGTCACCACAGCTGTACGAAAAGATCAGCTGTGGCGACATGTCCAAAAGGATTTTTTACCCCATTGCAACAATGTCTATTTGCTGTAACTGTACAAGAATTCGAAACTTTTCAACAATGTTAGTAAAACGCTGTACTGACGGCTGTTTGCTGTGAAGAATGCAGCTGTGACAATCAGTTCATTACCGAAATGTTGACAATTTTGTGAGTTTGACAGCTATATGATGTAATGCTGGTATTTAAGCCGAAATTAATAAGTTTTATCAAAGTGGAGCACACAACAGTGGCTCACTTTCTCTTCGTATTTCTTCCCAATATTGTTTTCCTTTTGCGTTTGTCTTCAGTCTTCTTCAGCGCCAACCCCAAATTGAACTAAGAGGCTCGAATTGATCCAGTGATACATAGGCAGCTTTCGTCTC